CCCCCCCCCCCAAACGCATGCACTTTTTCTGTCATTTGCTGCAAATCAAAGGTAGCTGTTGTCGACCGGGGGCCACGGTGGGGGCAACGCAGCTGATATGATGGCTCAATAAATCTGACAAACCCCCCCCCCCCCTTTATATACAGACAACACGGCCAGGCGGCAAAAACACGCGTGCGAAATCAGGACGTCGCATCTGTTTAGGAGCTCATGACGCACTGTAACGTGTTAAATCCCAGGGAAAAGACAATTATATCTGTGCTGAATTGAACGTCCGACGGGTCTGCGTGGATTCCGGGTACGTCTGGCAGGATCGCTTAGCCATAACAACAGTAATAATAAGAAATGGGTAAATTGGCGGCAGGATGGTGCGGACTGACCGCACCTGGGGCCGGAGAGACAGGGACGAATTCACAGCGGAAACGTCCCACTGCTTGGGGAAAGTGAAGAAGAATGAGGGAAAAGGGTAGAGGCGAAGACGCTTCACGCTCAGCATGGCGGACGCGAGCAGCCTGGGGAACGGCTGAGCTGCGAAGGGCCGCTTTCACCCTCTGTCACTCGGGTCATCCCTCCCCTCTGCTAATGACACGCAGAGTCACAGTGCATAATTAATAGGAAATGAAATATTCAAATGGGCCCTAATGCAGTGCGGGGCGGGACGACGGGGGGGCGACGCCAGAGGTTTAACACGCCGGGGACAGGGGACACTGGCGCGTGTCACTTCCTGGACATCAAACGCAGTCCATCCTTAAGAGCTCTGCATGACAGGCTGACAGCCGCTGATGCAAACTGGCACAATAAAACACGTTAAAGAGCGGCTCCTCGGACTGCCAGCTTGCTGTGTATCGTTTAGCCGCTACCCCCCCCCCCCCCCCACGCACAGCGGAAAACCACAAGGGGCCGTGGGGGGGAGGGGTCTCGCCACTGACTGTCAGGGGTGAGGATCTGGTCTAAAAAAAAAAGGAACATATAAAAAAATACATGCACACAGTACAGGTGCATAACTGTACACACACACACACACACACACACACACACATACACACACACACACAGTAGAGGTGCATAACTGTACACACACACACAGTAGAGGTGCATAACTGTACACACACACACACACACACATATACACATACACACATTACAGGTGCATAACTGTACACACACACACACACACATATACACATACACACATTACAGGTGCATAACTGTACACACACACAACAGTGTGCAGATACACACCGACAGCCTGCACGACGTCATAATCTATCACGTACTGGAGAGCCGTAATAAGTATCAGCACGGCGATATTGTGAGAAATCAGCTCCCTGCCACAAAGAGGCCCTCATGTGCCCAGAAACTCAGCCACGCGAAACGCGTCAGCACGCAGCTCTGGTGAGAGGCCACGATAGCAGGGGACCCGCCGGCCTCACGTGAACCCTCTGCCCCCCCCGGGGGTGAGTTTCACTGAGCCACTCTAACCCGGTCAGTGTCGGAGACGGAACACCCGGCGCACGGACCACGAGGCACTAGGGGGCAGGAGAGAATTAGGTGAATGTGACCTTTAAAAGGTCGCGGGGGGGCGGTCCTAAAGCACAGTGAAGGAGACCCCCCCCCCCACCCACTCCCCAGGAAAATGAAAAACAGGAATGGCGATTGGCTGCCTTTGTTTATCAAGATAGTGCAACTAGGTATGTAATGTTTGCTTTGAAAAATAAAATAAATACAAGCTTGGTTTAAAACAACATCGCAGGCCTGTGTTTAGCTGTTACTGTTGGCATCCAGAACCAAACTCTGGTGGATGTTAAAAGCTCTCCTCACCTTTCTCTGTACGGTAGAAAAAAAGGGAACTTCTGCTGACTAAACAGGGGGGGGGGTACAGGAAAAAAGGTATATAATTAAATAATTGAGAATAAAATTATTAAATATACACAAGCCTGACACAATCCAGAACTTTCCGTGGAGTGACTGATCCGCCCCCCTATTTGTGACTGTGTGCCTTGGAAGATGCTCTCTCCCAGCACTGGAATCCCATGTGGAACGGCTTAAGGGCCAGCAGGGCCAGGGGCCCCAGTGGGGCCACACCTCACACCTCAGCTGAGACAAAGGGGGGCTTTGTGAAGGCTCCCCTCCTCTGTTTTCTTAACATGTCCCAAGCATTTCGGGCAGGCAACTAAAGTAAACAAGATGTTGCTATGATAAAAACACTTGTGCAAACAGACGAGGGAGCACTCTAAGTCTTTTTTTCCCCCCCCCCCAAAGAATTTTACCCGGCCCTCACATTTAATCCCTTTCAGCCTTATAAACAAAGACTGGGCCGATCTCAGAACATAATAAATAGCAACAGATCCCATGCGACACAGATTGGGCTACTAAATATTGCTTTAGAAGGAGAAATACTTTGTTTACTCGCAGAGACGTTTGGTTTAAATCTAGGTGAGGGAGAAAAACGGGCGGCAGGAATGAACTCCATCCCCTTTCTTCCTCAGAAAGGCGTCTCACATTTTTTCTCTGGGCAGGTAAACAGAAGTCAGCTGCTGCTTACATTACTCCGAGTAAAGCGATCGCTCTCATGTTTATGGTGCCTTCTAACATTTTTACAAGAGCGAGCTGGTATAAACACTCTTCCGCTTACATAGCGAGTCCTGTTATTTTAGCCAGGTTAAGGGCGGTATTTCTTTAAAGTGAGACAGACCCGATATCGCTGCCCCCTCACCGTCACATCCCCCAAACCCCCGGCCACCCCACCAGCACTCAGCCTGCTGCTTCAACCTCATCCCAGAGGTACCTGGCTCGAACCCGTTCCAGGTCTCCATCCCGTGTGGGCTAGCAGAGGGAACGGCTCCCAGGACACGCAGAGAATGACAGCAGGACTAGGCACAGAGCCTTATGACCCGGCGGGGAGACGGTAGTCCGGGTTCGAGTGGGATGGGCGTGCATGATTCTGACCCGGTGTGTAAACCAAGAGCCATTTCTGCCCAAGAGTGGCAGGTAAACAAAAATGGCGGGGGGGACAGTCTTTGGAATGTACTGGCCGTTGGAGAGCCCTCCCCTGCACAGAGGGTGGGGGCGGGGCTGCAGGAAGGGGGTGGAGGGTGGGTGGGCACAGGGACAAGGGCAAACACGCCGTGCACCCCGGGCGTAGATAAACATCCGCCTGTTGTTTGTTTGGGAGAGGCTGTCACGGTTACCATGGGGGGGGTGCTTATCACAGGCTGGGCGGGTCCCACAGTACCCCGCCAGAGATCGCAAGGCATGCTGGGATGCAAGACAAGAACTGCATACGAGGACTCTATTTGTTTTGAAGGGGGCAGGGGGAGTGTGGGGCTGGGGGGGGGCACTCACTTGAGGAATGACTGGAAATCGTCGAACACGGCCTCGCAGCCGGGCCACTTGCATACGCCGTGTCCGTAGAGCGGGTGGCTGTGGTGGGGGGGCTCGTCCAGCGTGGTGCTGAGGGAGAGACGGAGACAGGCAGTGAGACCAGGCCACATCACCCCGACACCCCTATCCACCCTCACCACCGGGGGGCGCTGTGTGCCGTGCAGTGCTTCGCTGGCCACCCTGGGCATGGTCCTCAGTAACACCGGTGTCAGGAAAGCTAATGTGTGTTAGCATACTGGCCTGTAACATACGGGGGGTGCACACCCCCATGTGAACCGCACCCTGGGCGGACGAAGGGTTGAACTCCTGGATGTTGGCAGTCGGCATGGGATGATTACACCTCACTGACTGGAGAGGGGAGGGGCCTCCTGGGGGGCGATCCGTATCCCAGCAGCCACCTGCGGGGGCCAGTCCCCCCCCCATGGGAAGCTCTCACACCCATCTGGCACCCCGATGCCCCCCCCAAAACAGTAAACACCCCCATCTGCCACCACCTCCCGCTCAGATGACCGCTGCCAACGTGTCGCACCCCCCCCCCCCCCCCCCCCCCACCCCCCACCCCCCCCCCCCCCCCCCCTCTACTTTATGTGTTCTCCAACGCACACGTGTAATGCTCGGAAAATACCGGAAGGTGCGTTTTTTTTTTTTTCCCTTGTCAAACACGTCCGCCCTCCAGCNCCCCCCCCCCCCCCCCCCCGCAGACACACCTTCCCAGTTCCCCCCGGCCGGTGTGTGCTGGTGCTAGCGGGACAGGACACCATATGGACAGCGACGCTGAACAAGCTGTACAAATCTCCACGACAAGAGCCTGGGGGGCTGCCGCATGCCGCTAACACCTGTGCTAAAACCCCCCTCCCTGCGTAACCTGTCAGCCTCCAGAAAGGGGGGGGGCAGAAACCAATCATTATAGCAAATTCCCCAACGCTGCTTTTACATTACGCTTTTTTTGGCTGTAACCATTTAATTCTTGTGTGTGTGTGTGTGTGTGTGTGTGTGTGTGTGGGGGGGGGGGGTGGGTGGAGGGGATCTTTATGCATCTCTCTCAAGCTGATTGGTGAAACAGCCTCAGTAACAGCCATGCCCTTAACTAGCCAGATGTGATGCGAATGGGGGGGGGCATTAAAAACTGCCAAATTAAAGAGGAAAAGCCATTTATTTTGATGGAGCAATTCAGCAGGATTAAAGTGAGCTCTCTGTGTCCAGATTAAAATCGCATCCGGCAGATGACTGTACGCCGTACCTCACGTATTAAACTCCAAGAGCTGTCTCACGTTTTCTTGTATTGTAATTACTTCCCTAAGAGTTCACATTGTTCATAACAAGTGATAATTGCGTTGCAATTAAGAATCACTGAAGCATTCATGAATGCGGTTAACAGTTTTTTTTTTTCCAAAAGGCCGAAATATTTTTTAAAATTCAATTATGAATTATGCATACACATTAAGACCTCTGTTTTGATACAGCTAATAAAAAGATGGGAAAGATCTATTATAATGAGTTTTTAACAAGGAAACGTCCCCAATGGTGAATGTTGCACTGATTTTTAATTTGAAGGGATTTTTTCCGGCTGCTGTGCTGGTTGCCTCACACCAGAGTGGGTGGGGATTTGACGCTTCCCGAGGCTTGGCAGTAAGAGTCCCCTTTACATGGCAACCCGGCAAACGCAGGGAAGTGGCAGCGTTTACGTCAGTGTTTCCCAATCGGGGCCCCAGAGGCCCACAGACGCTTCACATTTTTGCTTCCTCCCAGCTCCGCGTATGAGAAAACACTGGTTCACGCTAATGTATGTAATTTCCTGCTAGGGATGAAACTGACATCCCTGTCTTCCCAGGTAGCAGAATCTGATGGCTCCGGCAGGAGGGTGGGGGTCGTTTTTGTCAGGCGCTCTTGGGGGGCGTGAGTATCGTTACGCTGACATGGGCAGCGGTCCCGTGCACCCCCCCAGGTGACTCTCCGGGGTCTCGCTCCCCGGAAGGCCTCTCCGTGCCAGCTGCCTCCACAGCGGTCCGTATGGGTTGCCACACGATTGAATCATCCCATCGAGATGACATGGGGGGGTTGGGGGGTGCGGACATCCCGGCGTCTGCATCACAAAAGGCGGCAGCTCGCAGACGCCTGTCCCGGAATAATGATATGCGCTCTTTCCGGCTCAGTCTTCCTCGCCCCCCTCGCGGTGCTAAAGGGTTTTACCCTCGCTGATTCAATTATCATCCTCCTCGTGTGAGCCCAACAAAGTGTGTGGGGGGGGGGCATCGAGTCAGATCATCTGTCCCCCCACCCCACTCCACCCAACTAAGCTGAGCACCGAGGGTGAAGAGAACACAGCCAAGTGACCCCAAGGGCCAGAGAGGTGACACCAGACCCGTCCCCAAATGGAGGGGGGTCTTTACAGTTTTTGTTGACTGTCTTACTTTTAAAAAATCTCTGTGTTGTGATATTTCACAGGTACTGGGACGACGCAAGCTCCCACTGGGTTATTGAGGGAGGGGTCTGAACTCCCAGCCCCCAGACGGCTGCCCCCCCCTCCCCGCCTCAAAGCCCTGGGCCCGATTGAGTTTCCGCACCCTCCTTAAGGAGGAAGTGAGGCCTCAGACTGATGCACTTAAGGTTTTAGCTGCAGGCGTCACCTTGCCTGGGCTGCGTTTATGAGACACATGAAACTAAGTGTGC